GTTAGGGAAGGATGAATCAACTTGAGCCCAGGTTCTCTGAAGAAGAGAAGCTTCATGACCTTGCCCAGAGCATTAACATCTTCAGAAGAAGCCCTGCTCTTGGCTCCATCGCCAAATCTTGGTGGCTGCTTCCAGATGTTGAAGCTCCCTGCCAAAGGGAGTTAGACCAGCCCTCTCTCAGAATCCTTCTACCAACAAGAAAAAAACATCCTTATTTAGAAAGGACCTGGATGATACCTGAGTGGATTTACTGATAATTGACAGCGCAGTCAATATCTTTAACTGACTGGTGTTTTTAATCATATTTGTTTTAATTCTATTCCTTTAGTCGATCTTGCTTTTATTAATCTGTTTAGCTGCCCATCTCACAACTTTAGCATCTTTGGGTGGCTAACGTTAAAAAGAAGTTAGTTAAGTGCCACTGGTTGCAAGGTGAGATATGAGTCCCATAAATAAGTTCCTTCTTCGTGCCTGCTGGAAACTTAACACGTCCCCCAATTTTTGAGTGAGATGAGCTCTTCTGTTTTCCACCAAAAGGAATCAAGGAGAACCAGGGTGCTGTAAAACCTTAAAACAGTGTTTCTCAACCTCAGGAACTTTAAGATATGTGGACTTCAACTCCCAGAATTTCCCAGCTGGCTGGGGAATTCTGGGCGTTGAAGTCCATACAACTTCAAGTTTCTGAGGTTGAGAAACATTGCCCGAAAATGTGATTAAACAATCCCGATCTTTCCTGCTGCAGGAAAGATTAGGGAGAATAAATGTGGGATCTTTGAAGATGCAAGACTGAATCTGATGCTTGTTGCATAGCCAAATCCTTACTTAGCCACTGACCCTAAATTATAAGCTCCAAACTGAGTAATCTCTTACATCTGTCTTGAGCTCCTCAGATAAACAGCCTTGTTACTGGACTGTGTTATTGGCCTCCTTTTCTTCTTCTCTTCAACAGATCCCTACGTCAAGGTCAACGTGTACTATGGCAGAAAGCGTATTGCCAAAAAGAAAACGCACGTCAAGAAATGCACTTTGAACCCCATCTTCAACGAGTCATTCATTTATGACATCCCTGCCGATCTTCTCCCTGACGTCAGCATCGAGTTTCTGGTCATCGACTTTGACCGCACCACGAAAAATGAGGTTGTGGGGCGGCTGATCCTGGGGGCGCACAGTGTCACAGCGGGCGGAGTGGAACACTGGCGGGAGGTGTGCGAGAGCCCCAGGAAGCAGATCGCAAAGTGGCACAGCTTGAGTGAATATTAGCAGGGTATGCGGAGGGCGCTGGGTGTTGACTCACACCTGTGCACGTAAGAGACTCTTGACTCCCCCCCCATACCTTCTATTTTAGTCGTAGAACTAAAAGTTTCCATAAGAAGCAGCTGATTGGTTCTCTGTTGTGACATTAACATTTACAGGGCGCGCGCACACGCACACAAAGGTTCTACAAACCGAGCTACGAAAAGTGGGGGGAAAAAAAAAGAGTGCATTAATTTTAATAATACCACAAAACATATATAAGAGCAGTGTAATCGCACTATTGCATGCCGAATACAGACGTTTAAAAAGAAAAAGAAAAAAAAAACAGAAAAAAATTAGCATAACTTACCAATATTGAGATGCAGTTTTTAATGCAGTTTATCTGTCACTATGAAAGTCGTGTTTTGTGATGAACTGTCTTTGCAGGTATTCACAACTGGTTCTATTCAGCTTCTCTTCCTGACTTCGGGTGCCCCCTTCCCTTTTTTAAAAAAAAATTCTGATGTCGACTTGCTGATTCTTTGCTTGCCCTGTCTCGGTTAAGCCTCTGCTGTTTTGTACGATTTGGATGAATTAACTTTGCTTGTACATACGTGCAATGGTCTAGGCATTTGTCTAGGGGCAAAAGAAATACCTTTCTGAAGTGGGTGTAAAATGCCTGAATGGCAGTTGCTGCTTTAAAACCATTTCCTGTAAAATAAATAATGGGATTAACCCAGCAGTGCACATGACCTGAGCTGTTCAAAATCTTTGCCTCGGGTAGGAAAATGTCTGTGGCCAGAATCCCTCCCCCCACACTTTAATTGCTGAACACCGTTCAATTTAAGAAGTCTTTTCTCATTTGCACTCAAAGCAAAATGCGTGCTTTTTAAAGCCTGAAATAGTTGTCAAGGAAACGTGCTCAGGGTAAATAGTTTTAGGGTTATTTCAGGGGTGTGGAACCTGCCAGGGACGGCTGGCCTCTGGTTTCTCCGAACCCGTGCTGGCATGTCAGATAGACAAGGCTGATGGGAGTTGTAATCCAGCCATCCAGAGGACCCTTGGTTCCCCACTTCCAGCTTTTCAGGCATATGGAAACAGTTCTATTCCTCCACAGGAGTAATGGGAAAACGAAGGAGTTCAGATTTTTTTTAAAAAAACCACCACCATCACCATACATGGGAATGCTTTGTGAGAGCTGCTTCGCCATACAATTTCCCAGATGTGAATCATTTTTTTTCTTCTTGTTGTTGAGTTCCTCTTCCCCTTTCTCCTTTTCTTTCCACCTTGTGTCTATTGTAAAAAATTAAAACAAAGCGAAACTTGGAGAAGTTACAACTTTGTGTCAAAACAAAAACAAACGAAAAAATTTTAAGAAAAAAAAATAATAACTGGAACCATGTACAACTGCATAATGCTGTTATACTAACCTAACAAACATGTAATGCTATCTGTAACGTCAACATTGTTTTAATGCACACCCAAACATTCAAATAAAGATGGAGTCACTTTACATTTATTGATTGCTCAAATTGATCTTAGCCATTCAAAATGTGCAGGGGCAACAGGGGGTGCTGATTTTGTAACTCCCAACAGGGCTGGGGAAGATGCACGTTGTAGGCCGGCCTCCCCCAAACCTGGGATCCCTGCGCTACCTATTTAGCCAGTTTTGTGGAATCAATCACATTTGACTCAGTTTGTGCGAAGCCAAAACCTCTGGTTGACAAACCAGTATGGCTAACTCCGCTCGACACTAAGTCTAAATCAAATCAGCCACCTTAAATCTTGGGGGGTGGGGGAAGAACTGAGTTTTTCTAATTTTGCACCAGAAAGAAAACGGCCAGGGTCAGGATCTCTTGTGCAAACTGAGTGTGCGGCTGCCCTTGGAACATCAGTCACGCCCACGTGACACGCCAACTAACCAACATTTTAGCCCAGCGTCCTGTATAAACCCAACTTGCTTTGTGGTTCAGTGTACCACGCCGATCCAGAAAAACGAGCAAAGGGGATAACCCTGTCTCCATGATCTACAGCCCTGCAAATACAGTCCCTCGGTAGATCTCTTAAAGCATTTAGCTGCAGGGGAGATCAAAAGGGGGACACCTATCTCCTTTCTTCATGCTAGAACTGGGGATCGGGCTAACAATGGCTTAGTTATTACTTTTCCCACCCACCCTGCTGTATTCTCCTTAGCTTGCAAGACTGGTAAGCCACTGATCTGTTTGCAGCTCGCCTCGTGGGCATGCCACCTAGCGGCTGGCTCCAGCCACAACCAGTTATCACATAAAAGCTTCTCCCACCCATTGTGCCCTTGCACGCGGGGTGCGCAGTCTCGCTACAAAGGCATTACCTCATCCTTTCGCTGCTGCCCCACCGTGACAAGAGGCACCGAACTCTCAGAAGAGATGCAATTTTTTTTCCTCCACCCCTCCGCCGGAGACAACAGGAAAAACCTTCCGGGCTTTTGAGCTACGAGGAAGTTTAATATCAGATTGCAAAGGGGCAGATGCACCCCTCGGTTACAGAAAAAAGAACTACAACCGCCCTGGCATTAAATATTAGGAACAGCTTTGCAAACAACAACTATTAATAACAGGATTACAGTGATTCTGCGCACACGCACGCACAAACACACCCCTTTAACTCCAGACATACTTCCTGTATCTGCTGAAGTACACCGTAGTTGACCAAAAAAATAATAAAATGCCATAATGGGTATTTTCTTGACAAGGAAAACAATTTCTTAAACAGCTTTTTAATTTAATTAAAACAAAATGGTTCCAGCTGACTCGCTCTTTACGAGGTTGCTATAAACAGCCAATTACCAAGAAATCAACTGGCATAGAAAGTATTTTAGACTGAAACATAATTACTTAATTACTTTTCAAGAATTTCAATATATCTGCACCAGAGCAGCCAAAAACACTTGATTTTCCCAACTTGATGTTCAGATGCATAAAATTATCCCCCAAATAGCATAGCTGACTAGAAATTACAAAAACAATGTCCAAAGGTCTACTAAAGGACTACAAAATTTCTTGTGGCAAATTAATTGTTTGATTCTTGAGTTTTAATTTTTAAACTTGTTGTTGTGTAGATTCCCAGGATGGCAACTCAATTTCACAATTCTTATTCCACTCCCTTGCACTCCAAGCACTAACGTATGTTTTTATCTTCAACTTTAAAGTTAAAGAAACAAAAGCTTAGGCTTAAAAAAATATTTATTGTAAGAAGGGCAGTATATATGTGAACCATAAAAAAATATGAATTGTGTCCAAAGAAAGTGCTTAATATTCAGATGTAATCATGCCAGGAGAAAGATTTCACCATTAGCACCACAAAATACTGTATTCTGCTAAGGCACAAATTAAGGAAGTTTTTGTTTTCAGTTTGGCTTAAACAGCAGGCTTTGAATCCACTACAATTCACACTTGTTTCAAGTCATTTTTGTCTTGAATATGAGAACTTGAAAATGAAAACAAAACAGAATTGAAACTCTGGCTCGTCCTTCCACAAATGTTAGCTATGTTATTTATCTCAAACTACTGTAGTCTCTTAAAAAAAAAAAGATATATCTACCACATTATACAGATATGTGATGAAACCAAACGTATTAAAATTAGATTCAATCTGCTCCTAAATTAATAGTTATGGAAAGTATCCAGCATTGTTCATAAAGTTAATTTACTAATTTTAAATACACCATATATTGCTACAGTCAATAAAATACATTCAAAATAATCCTTGTTAAATGGAATGTGATTTTTTCCCCCTCCCCGACTATCAAACTTCGCAGTAAGAGTCTATAAATACATACATATATAAAACACTATAATTGGTAACATTTGGAAATCCAAGAGCAATAAAAAATTTACCTAGAAGAAATGTCTAATGCTTGTTTAGTCTCTTATGGAAGTAATAAGTTCCATATTTTCTGTCATTCTTTAAATGGAACAGTAAGAAGCTTGGCAAGGGGCTGTTGTATTTCCTATCTGACCCCCCTGTAAACACACGCAGCTTACAATACTTTGCTTTGTAAAAATTGCCCCACAACGTGTCATGGCTACTAGACAGGAAAAAAGGGATCCAGGCAAGACACCAAGACAGGAGACCCCTGGTTTTTAAGAGTTAATTCAATTTAAAGCAATTTATTTTTTGTCAAGGCTCAAAAAATTGAAGAGACTGACTGGGGGACTGATTAACTATAACTTGCACAATTGAAAGACCTCTGAGACACACACTCCTCTTACCTTCTACCCAACCTTTGCTCCATTTCAAGGTGAGCCTCTCCCATTCCGCCTTGCAAGCATCCCGCACAAAGAACTCGCTGTACCAAATCTTCCATATTCATTCATGTGGGCTCCACTTCGGTGCCCATCCACAAGGGACCCCAGGAGAAAACTTGACCCAAATGCTTTTAGGGGGGGGGGGATTGCTGTAATAAAAGCAGATGAGGTGGTCTGGGGCCCTTAGCCCAGCATGGCCACAATAGCTCTCAAGACTCTGCTACCAACACCCCTCATGAGTGAGGCCACAAACTGGGCCCTGGACTCTTCACAAGCGAAGTATGTACCTCCCCCCGAGGTTTGCAAACTACCTCCCAATTCCAATTCATCACTGAATACGACATGCCCTACCACTCTCCAACTTTCCAACACGCTCCAAATCACACACTCTTATTGCCTCTCGGAACCCCTTCCTATCATTTACCAGCCACACAGCGTTATCCCTCAGAAGATGGGTCACTTCCCAACCCACGGCTCTCCCTTGCTCTTGCCTAAGTTACAGAATCAGGGTCCGAGCCCCCAACAAGGTTGCATAAACTACATGCAGTTAATACTTTGCAACTGAACCCCTAGCCCCACCTTTGCATTCAGACACAAGCATGGGGAAGAGGGGAGCAATCATCTTTTCTAAAGGAGTTCCAAGAGGTGGCAATAGAAAGAGAAGCTGCCACAGAGGAAGAACGTAGTCTAGAACAGTAAAGACTGCATGTACTACAGAACGGGCACAACCGCCCCGCGCAGCAACAAGGTCCATTTGCATCCCTTACACTGAATAAAGATTTAAAAACTTGGTTTACAGTATCCCTCTGCCCCCTTGCCTCACCCAACAGCCTAAAGGATTTGAACTGCTTCTTCTAAACAGCGTCCCACCCTCAAAAGCCAAGCTGTAAACCTCCAAACCGCGGCTGAAACGCTGGCCCGCAGATCCGGACAAAATTAGCAACAGCATCAAGCAATGTCAGCCTCCTCGTGAGGCGTGAAGGTGGTTACTCGTTTGCCAAGATGGTTCACGAGTTTCTAGGTCAATGGCTTCTTGTCAAGCCTCCTCCAGCTTGGTAGGCAGAAATTTGAAGCAGACGCTGCAGCACGACAAGGATGGCCTTCCAGGGTTTTGCACACAACAGTAGTTCAGTTCACACACTCAGCAGAAAGAGAGGCTCAAAAGCTGCTCGGCTGCCTTGCCTCTCTGTGGGGCTCCTCACTTCTCTGGCTAAGGGACCCCTTTCTTTCAGGTTACGGAATTTTTCTTCTTCCGGAAGGGAGATCTCAGGGTTTTCCAAACACTTGGGCGCGGCTTAGACTTCTTCTCCAACGCCATGATGATTTCCTTCTCCTTCCGCCGGATCTCCCGGACAAGCGTGTGAAACACGTCGTCGATATAGTAGCGGAAGGCAGCGGAGGTTTCAAAGAAAGGGCAGCCAAATTCTTGGGCCAAAGCTGAACCTTCTTCCTTGGAGACCTTAGAGCAATAAAGCACGCACAAGTGAGAACAGTGAGGGGGAAAAAAATGATTTTACCAGTAAAACATCTGCCTTGACTCTTCCTGTCCTGCATATGCATCACTGTGGCTTCTGAATCACCTCTTTTCACTTTCCATTTCAGTCACTACAAACTCTACTTGGTGCTGATATCCCTGACATCTGGGCAACTTCTAAGCCACTCAAAATGTGCAAATGTGCATTTATTGATTTAAGAGCATGGGGGGCTGACATCTCTTTCTCTAGCACTTCCCTTTACAATAAGCCACATTTATACAAACCCCATGTTATTTATCACACATATTTTCTCAAGTTGCACCTCCTAGGCAGAGAATACTTTCCAGGATCACTGTATGACGTGGCTTTCTAACAGCTGTCTCTTCAGAAGGCCTTTTCTCACAATGACTCCTCTTAGAATTTTTTTCCTAACAGACACCTTCTCTCTGCTCCACCCATCGGTGAGAATATCACACCACAAAGCTTACTGGAATCTGCTTCCTCACATTCTTTTGCTTGCCTCTCATCGGGAACACACGCACAGTTCCATTTGTCTGCTGCTCTGCAAATCACACCAATCAATAAGGCTAGCGTGAGTTTCGAGGCTTTTTACCTGCCTGAGTTGAGTTAGATCAGACTTGTTGCCCACGAGAACCACCGGAGTCTCATCCGTACGCCGGACACGGTAGATGAGCTGTTTAAACTCGCGCACTTCGTGAAAACTTCGGCGGTCCGTGATAGAATAACAGATGATAAACCCTTCACCAGCTCGCATGTACTGATCTCTCATAGCAGTGAATTCTGCCTGTGGGGGGAGGGAAAGTAGGTTTTTGGTTGCTGGACAGAGAGGTTTCGACACATCACATGCTTGCTCCTGTAAGCTTTCTGATGTTAGCAATGCGCAAGAAACAGCTGGGGTTTCAGGATAATCTGGAGGGTTATTGTTGTAAGTAAAGGTCCCATGGAATGACTGTTAATAACAAATAAGAAGCCAAACTATGTAAACAAGTCTACAGTTCAAACCTTGTCTCAACCATGAATTGGATGAATAAATACACTAAAAGAAAGATTTGCTTTCAGCTATCCATGCAAAGCTATATGAATCCACCCCCCAGAGGATTGTTTAAAAACAACTAAAGCACCGAAAAAAACACAACATGAAAGGCTGCGTAGTTGTTAAATACCTGGCCTGCAGTGTCCAAAATATCCAGATTAGCAGGTTCGTCATCAATCCGGATCCGCATTTTGTAAGCATCCTCTAAAGGGAGACACACACTCAGAAAAAGCCAGACACTTGTGCCTTCAAACTTTTTCATAATACACAGACATGTGCAACTGCTGCATTAAGGGACAGATATGCTCAAGGCCTTGTGCAAACGTAATTTCCCTGAACACATCAACAGGAACACTTTTGCCATCTGGGTTAACAACAAATGCAGCTGGCAGAGAAGACCAGCAAACTTGGCTCACAAGCCACTCAGGAACTAAGCCTTCTTCTCAGATGCTTCAGTCTCTGCTCAGTCATTCTGTTCTGCAAAATGCCGTGCCATTTTCATTTCATAAATGAAGGGATACGCTTAGGGTGGCTTGCCAGAGATTAGATACATGTACAATATGAATGAGGAAGAGTCCCAGAATCAAATACAGTAGTCGACAGTTTGAGTTCTGGGGTATTTTGGGGGTCTCTTATTCTGTGATTCTATGTGCACATGTGGTAGTAGTGGTGGATGTATTGACCCCTACATTTCTGAATTACTGTAATGGAAAATAACAGTTCCCTGAGTCCCAAGTTTCTGTTTCTTTATTCAGCATTCATCCTTAGCTCCTCCCACAGAGCTGGATCAGGCACAAAAGTCATCTGTTCCTTTCTTCCTCTATGGCAACCCGTCCCTGGAGAAAGGCATTTTCCTTATCAAGAGTGCCATATCAGAACTGCCTTCTCAGCCATTCACTGAGACAACTTCTGGCAGTGCAGCCTTAAAGGGTAATGAAAAGCAGGGCGCGTCCCAAACTTAACAGTGATCTCGAGAAGAACGTGAGCTGAAGTTTGCCAAGAAAAGGAGGCGGGAGGAAAAAAAACCCAGAGCGCCTTTTTCAATGTGGTAGGACACAACAGCCAGGGTGGACTTCTCCAAATTCTTTAAAAACAGCAGACTCTGAACCTCTTCACTCCCAACCAGCTGCCCAATCCACAGATACTGTAATCCCACATATTTACAGGACGATTTGAGAAAGGCTGGAACTTCCACCAACCCCAGCTAGACAAAGCCTCCGTAACCAAAAAAGAAAAAAGGGGGAAGCAGCAGCCAGACCCACTCACCGATAGTGGGATCGTGATCCTCTGGGAAACGATGACTGATGAACTGCATGGTCATGGCTATAAGGAAGACACAAACAGGTTAACACCAGACAAGAACAGCGAAGGTGGCGGTCGCTTTGAGACATTGCATTAGGAGATTTTGATGAGAGGTCGCAAATTTAACTTGACTAATAATCAGCAAGTATCTTACTGAGATCTTGTCTGAGTTCTAGAGCTCTATCAGCTGGTAGTTCATTGCAAGCAGTTTCAAAGCATGGGCCGTGATCTTTGAAGTCTACATAATTTAGAGTCAAAGTTCCCCCCAGGGACTCCTCTCTTGCTCAAAACACAAACCAAATATGAGAAACGCTAGCTAGTAGGGTCACTGGGGAGAGAAGCTGGAAATTGTAACTCAGCAGCATCTGGAGGGCCAGGAATAACCCAAATCTTGGAATAACAGAATATAGCACCATATGAATTAGCCCTGATATAAAAACTAAGGGAAAGAATGGACGGAAGTTTGCAGATCTTTCATCTGGTCAAAAAGCCCAGCAAAACGCTATTTGGGGCAGGCAATCATACAATCCCACTGAGAAAAAGAGGAGGAAAAAACACCATAGATGCCTTTTTTTGCTCCTGAATGGCGGGATACAAACCTACCAAATTAATAAGCAAAATTAAAGAGGAAGGCCTTGAAAACTGGGTTTTGTGCCCAAGCCTGGGGCCCCGCTGGTGTGTGTGTCAAACCCTGTCTCCTGGCTGTGTTTATTTCATTTATTTATTACATTCACCTAGTCGCCCATCTCACATAGCGACTCTGGGCGGTGTACACATTAACCGTTGAGAGTTCTTTGATCGTGTTGATAGTTGTTTGGATAATGCCTGGCTGTGATGTGTTTTAGTTTTCTATTCTATATTTTATCCATCTTACTGTCAGCTGCCCAGAGTCAGATGTGAGATGAGCGGCTATATAAATCGAATGCATATCTATCCATCCATCCAGGTCATCCGGCTGTAAATAAAAACGGTTATCCTAAAAAGCTTCTGGCAGGTCAATCTCAGGAATCAATTGCAGGGTTTCAGCCCCAAATAACAAATACTCAGGTCTTCTGGCCGTACGTAAAAACGGCTATCATGAAAAGCTTCCGGCTTGTTAATCTCGGGAATAAAGCACGGCTTCAGCCCATAATTCCCATTTTACCGAGGCAACCCCCTTCGCAGCACGCCCGGCCCAAACAGGGGTTTGCCCGGCTCTCATTTAGCGCGTCGCGCGAACCCGGCTCACTCTGGCTTAGGGGGCCCATCCATCCTGGTTTGTGCAATAAGCCAGGGTTTAACCGCCCCGGCCCCCCTTCAGGGCCCGCGGTCGCCTCCCTCAGTGC